TAAGCACTGTTTCAAAAACAGGGCGTTTTAATTAAATACGTCTCTCCCTTATATATATATATATATATATATTATATATATTAAAAGTATGCGGCTTTTTTAAGGCCTACTTAGTGGAATGGTAATTTTGTTTCTTTCATATGAACTTATTAGAAAGATCTCACCCTTATTTCAACATTTCTTCTAAATTTAAATTGACTTTTTTTTAATCTGCGTTTCAACCGTAATTACAACTTTGAAAAAAAAAAGCCAGAAGCCTCAAAGGAGTGGCATATGACAAAATAAATGAATAGAAATATAAAATAACAATTTTATTTATTAGCACATCATCTGGAAGAGACGTAACAAAACAACTGGTTCAATCACACAGTACACAAGCTCATTTAATGGCAACTTTCTTCTGGCTGAGTAATCCTCACATATTTGCAGTAACATCTCCTCTGGTCCCTTTGATACTTTGCGAAGTTATATCATAACCATGGAATTCCACAGAATAGTTGGATACGTGTGTTGTATGTTGTTTGTGTGTGTGTGTGTGTGTGGGTGCAGATGAGTCCCAAAATAGAACGGAACGGCCGTCCAGTGCTTTCAGCATTCCGTTGAGGATTCTTCTAGACTCGATGAATTACTATAATGTTTTACCTAAATTCCCAAAATTCTATTATATATATATATATATATAGTAGCGAGCATAAAGATCAGAATGATGTTAAGAAAAAGTCTAAATGTGAAATAACTTTTTATTTTAAAGCTTCAAAGAACATTTTATCAAGGAAAAATAAGGATAGAAAGGTAAATTATATAATTCCAAAATATAAAGATCAATAAACTTATTTTGATAAAGTTATAAGAATAATTATATAACATTCGAAAAAAATAGATGATCAAAAACATTTCGAAATACATGATCAAAAACATTTTCATTTCACATTTAGACTTTTTCTTAACATCGTTCTGATCTTATGCTCGCTACTATATATATATATATATATATATATCAGTAAAGTTGCATAAAAAACAAGATGAATAAGTATTATGCATTGTTTTTACACCGATGACATTTGATACCAAGTTTGTTTGACTATATAAAATATATATATTCATTAGTATCATTTACACACACACACACATATATATATATATATATATATATATATATATATATATATATCAGTAAAGTTGCATAAAAAACAAGATGAATGAATAATATTGAGCATTGTTTTTACACCGACGACATTTGATACCAAGTACGTTTGACTATATAAAATATATATATTAATTAGTATCATTTACGCACACACATAGATACACACACACACACACACATATATATATATATATATACATATATATATATATATATATATATATATATATATATATATATATATATATAACAAATTACGGTTAATTTTCACTTGCGATATTTAAACAATTTGAATGAGTCAAGTGCTACTATAAAGGGCGCGATAGGTCATTTGTTGCTACTTTGTATTTATTAATTTTGCGCATCCGAGTTCTTTGTTTTTGATTTTGTTGACAGCACAGTATAGTAGGCTCAGATGGGCACCGTCTGTGAGAAAAAGAGCATCATGGTGCAATTTGGAAACAGCATGCTGTGCTGCTAGTCTTTTGCGCTCGAAGCTCCAATTCGAACGTTTCAGATTCCTTGGGTGTTAATCTGCGGACATTGCAGTAGATACAGAAAACGTTGGATGAATCCAGTGGTGATTACAAACGTGTTTGTAGTGATCACTAGTCATGGCGATGTTATGTCTCCATTCCCACAGGGTCTCAGACTCAATATGGTGGTCAACATCAAGTGCCTTGAAGACTTAGTGTTGCTCTGGGTCAAGAGGGTGGTTGCTGGAAGATCCTATATCTAGCAACACGACTCTGCACCATGCCACACAGGCAGGAGAAACCAGTCACGGATGCCAGACAATTTCTATAACCACATCATACCTTATATCTGGCCACATAAGTCCTCAGACTGCAACCCCCTTGGTTAGTATTTGGGAAGGGGGCGCAGTTGAGTGAGAGACCAACAAAACTCTTTGTAACACCAAAGATAAACTAAAGGCAAAGATTATGGCGACATTCACCTACTTAAACAAAGAGACCGTCCAGAAGATTAGTAGGAGATTATAGACGCCATGATTGAAGCCAATGGTGATTTTATTTAATCAACCTTACTCTTTAGTATTTCAAGATATTTTTTATGTAATATTGGTAAATATACCTGTTAAAATAAGATGCCCGTGTTATTTTCATTTTTACGTAATTTAAATTAAAAATTAATTTTTTTTTTACGCAGCCGATCCATCGCACCCTGTATATTTAACGTCTCCAAAACAAAAGTGATTTCCTATAATCATCGCAGATAACCTCTTTTGCCTGCCTTCAGCATGGCTAATGCGTAACTCCAGGAAAGCAACACTTTTCGTTTTCTTGGACTCACGTTTTCCACGGACACGAAGTGGAGTGATTATATTTAATCAATTGCTAGGTCGACTGCTAGTAAAGTTGGTTCACTGTGCCGTGCCATAATTTTTTTCTTATCAGAATCCATCTTGCGCATTTATAAATGTACCATTGCTCCGTGCATTGGATACTGCTGCTAAATTTGGTATGGCACTCCTGCTGTACATCTCAAGATTCTTCACAAAAAAAGAAGGATCTGTAATGAAATCGCTCTTGACCAGACAACCCGGCTTCAGACACACACACACCGATGTGACGTGTTTTCCTTTTGTCTTGTCTACAAATATTTTCATGACATCTGCTCTGGTAAGCTTATTTCACTGGTGCCCCAAATTCATGAATTTAGGCTTTCTACTAGATTGGCAACTAGGTCTCACCGTTTTATTGTCAAACTAGCAAGATATAACCGTATGTTATATTCTAATTGTTTAATTTGTCCCACTTTATGCTTGTAGAAATACCCTCTGCGAACGATAGTGACATAAATAAATAAGAATAATATATAATTTATAAAATGTGAGAAACTCTACTCACCATTCCTTACATGAATAAAATGTCTGTAGCAGATCCAGGCAATCTATGGCCTGTCTGATGATTTTTGGCGGCCTGGAACAGCATATCAAACATTATTCTTTAGATATCCATTAATAGATTTTGGTATTTCATGATTGTATCTTGCACAAAATACTAATCTATAAAAAAAATGGCTGATGCTACGCCTTCTTGGCCTCACGTTTTCCACTGACAGGAAGTGGGGCGACTATATCCAATCAAATGCAACGTCTACTGCCAGGAAAGTTAGTTCAATGCGTCGTGTTAGGAATTTTTTCTCATCAGAATCCATCTTGCACGTTTATAAATCTACCATTCGTCCATCCATTGAATAGTGTTGCATTATCTGGTCTAAAAATCTTGCTGTACATTTCAGGATTCTTGACAAAATTCAACGAAAGATCTGTAATGTAATCGATCCTGACCAGGCATTTCGACTTCATTCACTTTCTCACCGACGTGACATGGCTTTCCTCTGCCTTTTCTACAAATATTTTCATGGCAACCGTTCTGGTGAGCTTTTCCCCCTGCTTCCCCGACTACATGCATTTAAACGTGCTACTAGATTGGCAGATAAGGTATCACCGTTTTACTGTTGAACTAAATAAATACAGTCGCTATTTCTACTCAGACAGTTTCTTTTCTCGTACTTCTTACCTGTGGAACTCCATTCCAATTTCTTGCTTCCCTGATAACTACAATCTTCAAAAATTTTAATGCAACACCAATCGCTATGTTCTTGTCTTCTTGAGCCCTGTTCTTTTATTGTCCTTTCCTCAATCTTCCCCACTAAATTCTTCTCATTATCTTTTACTTCATGTTATCACCCGCGTCTTAGCGGAATTATCGCCTTGCTTAGGTTGAAACGATTCAAATTTGACAAAGTAAACCTGATAGCTGCTCTTGAAAATCAAAGGTTAACTGGGGCAAGAAATGACTTGTAAATTTTATTTTTATTTTATTTTATTTTACGCTTTCAAAACAAAACTGTTTTCATTTAACCATTATAGATCCTTTTCTCTCTTCGATCAGCATGGCTGACGCCAGACTTCAGGAGAGCAACCCACATTGCCTTCTTGGCCTTATGTTTCCCACTGAATTGAAGTGGAACGATTGCATCGAATCAATGGCTGCATCTACTGCAAGGAAAGTTGGGTCACTGTGTCGTTCCAGAAAACTTTTCTTGTCATAATCTTGCACATTAACAAATCTACCATTGGTCCATGCATTGAACACTGTTGCCATATCTGGTCTTGTGTTCCTGCTGTATATTTTAGGATTCTTGACAAAATTCAAAAAAGAGTCTGTAATATAACTGATACTGATCTGACATCTCGACTTCAGCCACTTTGTCACCGACATGATGTGGTTCCCTCCTGGTAACTGTTCTGATGAACTTTCTTCCTTAGACTCGACTTCATGCATTTAAGCGTTCTACTAGATTTGCAGTTAGGTCTCACTGTTTTACTGTCGAACTAGTTAGACACAACAGCCAGTACTATACTAATAGTTTCTTTTCCCTCCTGTGAAGCTACCTGTCAGTTTCTAGCTTCCCTGCTACCCACGATCTTCAAAAATTTAAATGCAAAGTCAATCGCCATCTTCTGTCTTTCGTGAGCCCGGTTTCTTTATTAACTTCTTTTCACTAAATTCTTCTCCTTCAGTCTTCGTAACCCTTACGACCTAGTGGCATTATCGCCTTGCTTGGGGTGAAATGATTTCAAAAAATTCTTATGTATGTATGTATGTGTGTTTTTATATAAATCGAATAATCTCATTCAAAATGTCTATCGTAGTTTTCTTTTTTTGCTTCGTCTAGACTTTCACTGAGTTGTAAATATGAAGAAATAACTGATTTGTTTTGTGTCTTGACATACGCTTTGATTATAATGTCACAAAATAAGTGGCTGCAAAATTCGAAACCCGGCAGAAGCTGAAGTTGAACACTGGCTGTGGACATTGAATCAATGGCAGAACAGAAAACAGAGAGTGAGAGAGAGAGAGGGAAAGAGAGAGAGAGAGAGGGAAGGAACAAGAGAGAGGAGGAAAGAGAAAGAGTTAAACAGTAAGGGGGAGGCACTAAGGATAATGCGATTCAGAAGGAAAAGCTGCCTTTAAGAGGTAAAAAGAATGACAGAGAAATGATGTAGGGCAAGAATGGAAATAAAATGAAAAGGAATCTAAAAGAAAGAAAGAAAAAAAGAAAGAAAGAAAGAAAGATTATAATAGAATACCAAAAGGAAAGAAAGGAAAAGAGAGAAAGAGTGAAAGGAAAATATTAACAGGGTGAACGAACGAACGAAAGAAAGAAAGAAAGAAAGGAAGGAATTAAAAATTGGGGGGAGAGAGAGAGAGAGACTAGAAAGAGGGAAGCGAAAAGAAATGACGGATGGAATGAAAGAAAAAGAGATAAAGATAACGTGTTATTGTAGAAAGAAAAAAATAAGAGAAAAGAGATAAGGAAGAAGAAAAGAACAAAGAACGAAGAACTAAAATTAGATCGAGTGGAAAGAGAAAGACCTAAAGAATGAACGAGTGTAATGAAGGAAAAAAACAAACCAAAAAATAAAACACATATAAAATAGGCGGGTGGTACAGAGAGGAAAAGAAGAAGAATGAAGAATAAATACTGTAGAGAGACTGGGAGAGATTAAAAAGAGAAAAACGAAAAATAAAAAGAACAAATGAGCTGAAAGTAAAACACAAGTAAATGAAGATGTATGATAGTGTGGAAGGCGTAAAAAGAAAGACGAAAAGAGAAGAAAAGAAAAAAGAATAACGTTCAAATTAGGGGGAGACAGAGAGAAAATAGAAAAAGAAAAACAAACAACAAACGACATAAAAGGAAAGGAAATTAAAAAGAAAAAAAATATATAATATTGTGGAAACAAGCAAAAGACATAAGTACAAGAAAAGTACAAAGTAAATGGTGGAGTAAAAATTGGGGAGAGAAAGAGCAAAGAAAAAAGCTGAAAAATCAAAAGTGAATGACTATGGAAGGAAAAAAGGACCAAAATCTCGGAAGATTAGAGAGATAAAAATAAATAAATAAAAAAACAAAACAAAAAGAATTGAATGCAGGAATAAAAGAAATAAAACAAACGATAAAAAGAGTAATAAAAAAGAAGTTAAAAGTCCGAAAGGTCGGTAAAGAGGGGGAAAAAAAGAAAGAAAAGCGAAATAGAAAGAAAGAGAAACAAGAGAACTAAAAAGTGGTTTTTGCTTATCGCCATTCTGACGTTACGGGTCCGATCGTCAAAACTGCTGAAGGCCGGCGGACAAAACATTTCTGCACATTTCTATGTTTTCTGCTTTCCACAGTCGGCCAATTGGATTTGCTCTGCCAATGTGGCATCTATCGACTTGTTGGTGCTAAATCCTCCATTGGTTGACCATTGCTGTTGTATCCGCTTTGCTAATGTGCCGAACCTACTGAAGCCGCAGCGGTGTCAAAGACACCGTACGGCAAGTGGCTGTCAATTGAATCAAGTTCAAGACACATCAATTGAAGAAAAGGGGAGACAACCGTAGGAGAGGGCGCTGGTGCCGGTGAAGAAACTGCCCGGCAAAATAACGTCGAAGTTAGAGAGGACTAAATCAAAATGAGCGGTCTCTCTTGTATTTTTTTTTTAAACTGAACATTCCGCTAAACGCTTTACCTTGTGAGGTTTTATAGCAGATGAACAGAAGCCAGACAGAAGTTTTCCTGGGATTTATATTGTTTTTTTTTTTTTTTTTTTTTTAGTTCAATCGAGAGGATGGGGTTTAGTACTTATGAAAATAGGGAAAGGTGAAAGAAAGGCTGTTACTCGCTTGCCTGGGTAAAGTGGACGCGCTATGACCGTTAAAAGAACAAATGTATATTCCTTTCTTATTTTTCCTTTAATTAAATTATTTATTTGTTACTTTGAGAAGAAGGTATTTGATTTGTGCGGTAAATGCATAAAAATATAGAAAATACATAAGTTAAACAAAAACATCAGCTACCAAGTCTTGAACTTATGCACGCTTGGAATGAAGCGTGGGGTAACGTTTTGGCTCACGTAATAAAGACACCTGATTTATAAATTCCCTTTTACGATACAGGAGAAATCCCGAGAGTTGACCGTAGATACTGAATAACATAAAAATAGTTAGCAAATCAGGATAAATGGACATAGTCAGAACCTAGTAATTATGCTGCTAACTATACACATGGCACAGTGGATAAAGGCGTTGGTTAGATCCAGTGACAGACTCCAAAGAGTGTGAGTTCAATACCCGGTTAAGGCAGTGGAGAACTTTCAGAGGGAAATTGACAGGAGATAACTGATAACTGGCATCTATGAAACATTGCACGTGGAACTAGAACAGTCTACCCCAGTGAGCGAAATAAAGGGTTCAGTTCGACATTCCAACCACCTGAAGACGGTCGGAGCGTACAACGGCCGAAACGTTGTGATAAATATGACGACAAAGATGAGGAGAATAGTCCAAATAATGTACATAATACCTCATCTCAGAAATATAGACAGACTCTAACTATACTAATGTTCTCATCTTTGTTGTTGTTGTCACTTTTCGGTTGTTGCATCCTCGGCCTTCATCAGTCAGGGTAACCGGTAAGGGAATTTCGGACAAAACCCTTATTTAATCTACGGGAGTAGATTGTTCTCGTTTCACTGCCTATGTCTAGGGATGACTCATCTTGTTCTTATATTAATACTGCATCGTTATTGTTCGCCCCGACTCCAGTGAGTCCAATTACACAGCCGGACCCAGGGATTGAACTCCCAACCCCTCAGTTATGTGCCATGCATGATACACGCTTACACAATCATCTATCTGACGAGGCAGATTTTATTTTTCCCAGTAGGTTGCCATTTCTTTCTGCGGTAGACCAGTTGCCATCCAAAGCTACAGAACCCAGTCTGTCCTGCTATTTACCCATAGCTAGGGGGGAGAAGAAGAGGATTCGTACCTTTCCTAAGAGTATTAGCATGTAAGTGAATGTAATGGATTCGACTGGAATTCGAACTCGGCTTTCCAATTTCTCAATTCGACCCGATATCTACAAGTTCAGTCAGTCAGTTATGTGCTACACAGTTAGGCAATCATGTACTTTTCGATAAATGACTGACGAGGCAGATGTTTTTTTTTCTGCAGTAGGTTGCCATTTTTTTCTGTGGTAGACCAGTTTCCATCCAAGTTTATCGAACCCAGTCTGTCCTGCTACTTACCCATAGCTGGGGGATACATGACTGACGAGGCAGATGTTTTTTTTTCTGCAGTAGGTTGCCATTTTTTTCTGCGGTAGACCAGTTTCCATTCAAGTTTATAGAACCCAGTCTGTCCTGCTACTTACCCATAGCTGGGGGAGAAAAAGAGGATTCATACCTTTTCCAAGGGTATTTGCAAATTAGTGAATGTAATGAAATTCGAACTTGAATCTCCAGTTCCTCAATCCGAGTCGCTATCCACCAAATTCACGAACCGACACTTTAATACAGTTGGACCTTTTCTTAAACGAGACATCACTAGACATGGACATTGTTATATTGTTTGTTTTCATTACTTTTGTTATTAAATATCCCATATTGTGATAAAAACATGAACAAAAAAAAAAATTAAACTAAATGAAAATGGCTAAATAATATACCCAAAACACATATATAAAGAAAACAATTTGAATTTAAAAACATCAGTTTAGGATGATCAAGTCTGAAAGGACAAAACGTAGCACACGAAAAAATTATATATATATATATATATATATATATATATATATATATCTTACTTATTATAAAACGCAGATTGTGTGTGTGTGTGTGTGTGTGTGTGTGTGTGTGTGTGTGTGTTTATATATTGGATCGGATTTCCTACATTTTTCAACCGATTTCAACAAAACTTCACAGGACTATGTAAAATTACCTTGCGGTGGTTCTAACAGCGCCAAAAATTGGAAAAACACAATTGTTTTTGCACGAAATCAATTTGAAAACACGAATGAAAAGGGAACAACTCATATCGAGTTATACTTATTATAAAACCCAGGTTGTTTGTGTGTGTGAGCGTTCGTTTATATATGGGATCGGATTTCCTACATTTTTCAACCGATTTCAACAAAACTTCACTTTTTTTGGCAGGTAGTGTTTCTTATTCTCTTGCACACTTTTTTCTTTATTTTTACATTCAGAATGCTTTAAAAATTCCATTTACAAGACAATTGTTTATAATAAAATTCTATTCAATCGGTAGACTCATAACGATTGAAAACAATGTTTTTGTTTGAGTTTGAGTTTGACCAATTCGTAAAAAAAAAACAAAAAAACAACTAATTAAGACATGCGTGTCCGTCAACCTTAAACAATAATCTTTGTCAATTTTATTTTTCAGTCTTTATGATGGTCGATACTTGATCTATCTCTTACTGTTATATCCCCGGGCAACGCTGGGCTCTACTGCTAGTATATATATATGTGTGTGTGAAAAGTGTATATAAATATAAATAAATATATGTATGTATAATTATTTATATATTATATGCGCGGTACTTATTAGAAAGCGCTCAATATCAGAGATATAGCTAACATATTTGGTTGGATAGATGTGAGTTTGTGACCCTGGGTTTCACGCTTTAGCGATCGTCAGACAAACTCTCTCTCACTCTCTCTCTCTCTCTCTCTCTCTCTCTCTCTCTCTCTCTCTATATATATATATATATATATATATATATATATATATATATGTGCGTTTGCGGCGAATTTTAGTCATGAAAGCCATCATCATAAAGGAAGCGATCAGCAAAGAAGAAATTAAATTCTTGGATACGAGATAAAGCCGACGATGAGGATCTATTAGAATTTGTCTTTTGTATTTTGGTTTATTTGTGATATGTTGATCTCTATGTGCGTAGATTAAAGTTTATAGGTTAACAAATGTCAAATACCAGAAATATTTCTTTGTACTGAGCTCTAATATAATATCTTATAATTAACGCGAATTGCACTAAATTTTTACTCAATGCAAAGAAAGAATTAAAATTCTGGAACTCGTTGTAATACAAAGAAATGGGGCCAACATTAACATATTAAGAATATAATTCGCTGGTATATAACAGTTATTCATCCTAAACAATTACCTTAGATTCATCATTTATCAAAAAAATTAAAAGTATTTAATCAAATTGTGAGCGATATTTCATCACCCCCAAACCCACCATATATAAATCAAACGTTGTTATTGGTGGACACATGTATTTGAAGAGATATCCCTATTTTTGTTTACTTTTGTTTAACAGAGTAATTGTCCCCAATTGGCCTGGGATTAGGAGAGTCTTTAATACAGAAAAAGGTGCCAATGGACAGGGTTCGAATCTGTGTCCCATTTATATAGAAGAAACCTGTATAAGATGAACTTGTTTACCGTGAAAATCATTCGTGTTTGAGTGGTTTGAAAGCAAGCTGAACTAATCGTCACTTGCTTGAATACAAGGGGGTCACTGGTTTGGATCCTACCGAGGGATACATTTACTTTCTTAAAGACGTCCGAAATTCCAGACCGAGAAACGCAAATTAGTCAAATACGTGTATCTACCAGATATAACGTTTGTAGTAATATATATATATATATATATATATATATATATATATATATATTACAATAATCGTGCAATCAATTTACAAATACATGAATTATTCACACAAAACTAATGCAAAGGTTAATGATTTAAATGGCGAGACATCCATCATCGCAAACAATTCAAATAGTATACAAAACCTCCAGATCCGTTATGAATGAATTGATCCTTGTTTATATAAATTTCTGCCGTATTAGTTGTTATTTTTTTACTACAAGCTTTCGTCTGTTCCTACAGACATCTTCAGGTATAGAATAGATGTTGTTTTTTGTTTTTTCTCTTAGTAATAAGAGTACAACGAAAATATATGTGTTGTTGTATCCGAAAATGCTATTGAAAAAAGAGTTATTGGTTTTGGAACGCGCCAAAGCAACGCTGAGTTTGATTTTAAATTTTTAAAGTGTTTGCGTTTATACCAAATATGGTGATGAACAAATTTTTTACTGGTAAATTTTTTCTGTCAAAGTGGCATGAACTATATTGTTCAATAATTACAGTAATGTCGCACTTATTATCTAAAAGTCGCACTTGGATCAGTTATTTAAATTACAATAAACGTGCAATCAATTTACAAATACATGAATTATTCACACAAAACTAATGCAAGGTTAATGATTTAAATGGCAGGAACATCCATCATCATAAAAAAATTCAAATAGTATACAAAACCTCCAGATCCGTTATGAATGAATTGATCCTTGTTTATATAAATTTATATAAACATGAATGAATTGATCCTTGTTTATATAAATTTATATAAACAAGGATCAATTATTCATAACGGATCTGGAGGTTTTGTATACTATTTGAAATTGTTTTGATGGATGTCTCACCATTTAAATCATTAACCTTGCATTAGTTTTGTGTGAATAATTATGTATATATATATATATCTCGATATATATATATATATATATATATATATATATATATATATATA